ATACATATATATATTATATTTTATATCACTTTAATTTAGGTTATTTCTTAATAGATTAGTGCACGTGCGCATTTTAAACGAGTATGTGAAATGCTCCTAGGCGTTATGTGGATAAATAAACTATTATTATTATTATTATTAACAAGACTGATGTCACGCAACATGTTGCGTGATTAACAAGTCACACAATCACAAACCAAGCTTACCTCATGGTACGCCAATACACGAGCAAACAATTGGCATATCAAGTCGTCTTCTGCAGACTGCAAAACAAGAACATAACATTTCATTGGTTTTACTCTCCTGTTGTTGTTTTTTTCCATCAGAGATTCATCTACCTACCCCTTGATGACTACTAGTTGAATCAATGGTTTGTGTTTTTCTACTGATTTTAGCTGTACCACTTGCTGTAGAAACATTGTAGACACCACCTCCGATCCCTACTTCCATCTCCATCTTGTCGTCTTCATCGCTTTCAAGCTGAATACAACAAGAATATGTAGGCCTCATTAGCAGGGCACGAAATTAACTTTTAAATCCACTAGCAAAACCTTCCTAGTAAGTTATGTTCTCATTAGCAAAAATTTCAAAGTCACTAGCGATGGGACGCGGTGAATGACAAACTTTACTTGATGCAGGTACTTTACTTTTCATTCCTTCAATGTCTGGACTGTGGTCATACTCCCAAAACTTAGCTAGTCAAATTTTTTGTCACTCGCTAAATACAAAATTTCACCTGCATTTTGCAAGCATTAGTTTTGTGCCCTGATTAGGATATTTTCAAGAGTCGTCAATTCTTGGTAAGACATTCTTTACCTCAGTCAGTTTCACATGTAGCACATGCTGTACCAGACTAGCCAGACCACCCTCAGGTACCATTGTCTCACTGGATACCATGTGTTTGTCCATTTCTATTAATGCTTGTCGCAGCTCCTTTGGGTCTGAGAACGTCACCATCCCTACAACGAGTCATTGCTGATTTGAGTACAAATACTTACAAAGAAACACTGATTTGAACAAACCCTGAAACAAACTCCGGGCTGATCTAAGGTTGTTTGATCTGTGAGTTAGCCATGCCCTGACTTTGATCAGCCCAGAGGTTGCTTCACGGTTCAATCTGCGAGTTACCCATGCCCTGACTTAGATCAGCCCAGAGGTTGTTTCAGGGTTCTATCTGTGAGATAGCTGTGCCCTGACTTAGATCAGCCCAGAG